AAGTGGGCTACTGACGAAGGAATGAAGGCCTGGCCCACCAACTGCACCGCCTTCCAGTGACGCTAGGGTCCCAAGTTCGGGATTTCAATTGTTTGGTTGGTTATGGTGTACATCAGCTCCTTTGGCTTGTCGCTTGGGGTCAGGGTTGAGAATTAGGTGCAGTATGAGAGGAAGAAACCTTGGGCTTGACAACATTATGATTGCAGGGTCTTTGTGAGTGTGTTCATCATGAAATTAAAAAACGGTTCATAGTTTTGCTCCCACTGTGAAATCACAAGTTACGTTTTGCCGATCACCTGGCCTACCGGATAAATAGGTTATTTTACAATAACTTCAGAGCCTGAAATTTAGCCAACAGGGGAATAGTTTCTAGATACACCACCATTTGCGCCATAGTCTACACTCCTAGTATCCCCCTTAGTAACTCCTATAGTAGTCCCTTATATGATCCTATATATGACCCCCTGTAAGGAGTTTAGATTATGGCTCGTTCAAGGTCAGGCGGGGTGATAGCGTTATAACACCCCAGTAGCCCAAGCCTCATTACAGGGCTTCACTTTCTGCCAGGGTTTAGGGTTCAGGGCATGCGAATCCCGGTGACGTTTTGTGGGGCGGGTCCTTGTCGGGGTGATGGGGGCATGCCCGAATGAGATGCTGAGGTTTAGAATGTGGTTTCTGATGGGCTTGGTTGCCTTCGTCATGGACTGGACAGAATTGGGAGGCACGAGTGGAACACACAACTCGTGTCCGGGAATCGTCACACAGACTACCATCATCCGTGGGGCGATCCTTTCTGATCCATGGGTGGAGTCCAATTTAGCTGGAATTGAGTAAAAGCTTTTACACTAACTAGCAGCTGTAGTCCATGTAATGACTATTTCGTGCGCAGAGCTATCCTGAACAAAGCTACACTTGCATACTTGGAGCGTTGGCATGGCAGGGATGTGCCCTTCGCACTCTAAAGCGAAAATGATGGAAGCAAAAATCTATGACAGCCGTCTCCGTTCATTTCTCCATCATGCATCATGTCATTCTTGTACGGGAGATTCCCCAAAAAAACAGTACGGCATATGGCGCTCATCACAAGGACTCTGAGAAAGGAACCCATAGCTTTCTGAAACCCCAGCCCTACATATCCCTTTACGAACCCTGTAACCCCTCTAGAGGGACGGCCCGGCGCCTTGTTGGAAGCACCTACATGTGTAGTGTTATGTTGCGTGTTGACCTTCTCATAAATCACTATGCCAAACAAGAGGATATCATCTTACCTTATATTTGGGACTGCATACCCTCATGCTGAAGACTACCCATGCGTCGATGCAAGGTAGGTCGGTTACAAAAGACCAGTATTACCTGTAAGGTGCTGACAAAGGACTGCAGGATATCACCTGGCTGTAACTTCAGTTTCCCCTACCTGGCACTACAACCTTTAAACTACAATGTAAGCGCAGTTTCCATTTCCCTTTCCATTTTTGCGTCTGATTCTTCTTTGTTGAGGCAATATCCTCAGCCTCAAACCATCGTCCCTAAACCCTGCAAATGGGGTCCACCATGTGAGCTAAACTCCTGGTATCCCCCTTAATAATCCCTAGAACACTCCCGTGTACTATCCCCTGTTTAACCCCCTTTAAAGCATTCAGACCCTGAACGCCACACCTTGAATAATCCCAGATATGTCCCCCTTTAATAAGGAGGTTAAACGATAGTACATGTGTCTGTCGCCTTTTGACCATTCGCACGTTCCCTCTCACTAGGGTTTGGGGGCCCTGTAGAAACTAAGTTATGGCTTTAGAAGGATTATACAGGGATAAAGGGTAATAAAACTTAAAATGCATTTTCAAACCTACCCCGGCTCAGGCTGTAGCCAAAAGCAGAGCTGCCGCCCCGAGCGCGACCGTGCCAGCCCTTGGGTAAAAAGCGGACTGTAGTACAATCCTAAGCCCTAAACCCTAAGAGGCTATATCAGGAGTCTATAAGATGTAAGTACAGAAGATGACTTTGTCCACCCTGAAAAAACAATGATGTACATGCTATATAAGGACTCACGAAGACTTTGGTGGTATGGACCCTACGACTATGATGTGAGATCCTCCTTCGGTTGGGATTCCTGAAATCCTGCTAGTATATAGTCCCCCTTACGTAGATAGAATATGGCTTTGGGTATATCATAATAAGATGCCCACATACCCCATATTCTATCCCTAAACCCTAAACCCTAAATCGTAGTTTCCATCTTCTTTTCCATTATCCCTATATTACCATAATAATATACCCTATATTCTATCTACTTAAGGGAGACTATAGTTGAAGAGGACTTCAGGGAGATTTCAGCGGTGCTTAAGGATATAGATGGGGTACGTTCTAAGTATAGGCCATTGGAGAGCCTACAGTTTCGAGGCAGTAATGCGGGAACCATGAGAGCACCATGACTTAGACAACAACGCAGCGGGTAAAGTATTACAGGATCCTGAATACCTACCACAAAGCGATCTTGGCAATTTTTCAGCCACTACAGCAATGGTTTGAAGCTTCTATCTAGGAATCTAGGGGCCACTGATTTGGCCCCACCTTTCTGCAACAAGCCTCTGCTTAGGCTCGGACCGCACACGCATGCCTGAGAGTCTTCAGATCAAAGCTCACACAGCTGCAGCCGTAAAGCTTCCGAGTACGTTTCTGGTTTAGGGTGTAGGGTGTAGGTTTTTTAGCATTCAGGGTTCAGGGTGTTTAGGGTGTGGGGTGTGTAGGGTGTTTAGGGTTTAGGGTCACTGGGAACAGGTCAAGCTGGGTTTGCACTATGTGGCCTACTTGTACAAGGATTATCTGTATAATTCAACTTATTAAGACTCACTGCCAAGTCTCCCTGACTATATATACATATGTATACCCATATCTAAACAAACTACGAACAAGGATAAACCTATATACAATGTGTTTGTAAAAGAGGGA